TAGCAAAGATAAAAAACACCAGGCTCAAAATCTGGTACACAAAGGAGAACATCAAGTGAAGAACACTGCACATGGACTTTCTCAAGTGAAGTCACAAAACCTCTGAACACTCCAAAGCACTGCTTGCCAGGTGGTGGAGAAAGTCTGAAGTGACTTCTGAGAACCTCAGTCATGACTGTAAGTGACTGCCAGCTGTAACATAACAAGGACAGACATGGTAATACTGCATTATGAAATGGTAATCACAAAGAAATAGAGGACATGCAGCAGCTCCATCAGTTTGTGAGTTACACTGCTTCAGGAAACTTTCCTGCGTTTTGGTCACACAATAATGTAATTATTCTTCGTTGTTATATTACTTTTTAATTGGTTGAAGACAGAATCTTTCTCATGAAATGTAGGTGTGAATGAATAGGTTATTTATTCCCTTGATGCATTAAGAAATTTTAAAACACATAAATACTTTCTGCTTTTGGAAATGTATATGGACCTCATCACTGCTCCTTTTAAATGTAAAAAGTAAGAGTTTCAAGAAACACCTGAAAGTGGCTCAAGATGTATCTTAGAGCTCAGGTAACAGTTTATGTTATCAGAGGCTACAGTCCAAGGCTTCCTGGTCATTCTAAAATGCTGCAGTATTTATGAAGCTATGGTGGAGAGTGCTACCGAACCTTCTCAAAAGGAAAGCTTTGAGTCAGCTTTTGCGTGTGAGACAGTGACATCCAGCGGTGAGTTTGGTTGCCTGCACTGATCTGGACAGAAAAACATCAATACTTTTATTTAGTTGAAACACATTAAAATATTTCAAACCTATTTTAAAATATTTTAAAATATTTCAGTAGAGAAATATACAAAGTTTTTTTTGTTCCCTAAACAAAACAAACAAACAAACAAACAAACAAACAAACAAAAAAAAAACCCCAAAAAAACAAAAACCAAAAAAACCCCAACAAAATCAACATACTTAGATATAATAAATATAAAAATGCTGTGTTCACCTGAAGTGAAAAATTACAGAATCACGGAATGGGTCACATTGGAATGGATCACAGAGAGTCACCTTGGCCAACCTCCTTGCTCAAGCAGGGTCACCAGAGCACATTCTACAGGATTGCATCCAGAACGTTTAATCAAGCTTACACTAAAAGTATGCAAAAATAGTAGCTGCATTTGAAGAAATAGAACATCTCCTACACTACAGCTGTTTTCTATCTTGTTCAGACAAAGGATCACTACTCCTCTTTTTCCTGAAAATTTCAGTTCCTATAAAAATGGAGCTTATGATTCTCAACACCCACAAAGCCATTCTTTGTAAACTCCATTTGGGATTCACAGCCTCAGCAGATCACCATCTAACTCAAATACAGCTTTTCTAGAGTAGATCCTTCCTTTCAAGACCCAGCTGTTGAAAAGCACTAAGACTGTACTTCAAAGTTCCTTGTTTATACACTCAAGCATGTAGAAGACCTCAATTCAATGTCCTTCTGTGCCTTTTGGAGACACGTGAGGATTTTATTGGAGATGGAGATCAATGTAGCTACAAAGCTAGGAAATACTGCTGAGGAAGAGACATTTAAAATCCCTTATTGAATCTGTTCCATTTTATCTGCTATCATGAGATTTGTTGGACCAAAACAAGGCTAAAAAAAAATCCAACATTAAGAACAATTATATTCCTGTGGATATGGAAAAAGAGAGCATTCTAGGTTCTCATTTTTGAAAACTCATCTCAGTTATTACTTTTTCACGGGGAACAAGGACAACCTCAAACTCCAGCAAGTTTGCCAATTAATTTATGATAATCTGTCTTTTCACAGATTATCATTATTTCACAGTGCAGCAAAATTACCTTCTACTATGACAAGTTGCGAGGTTAATATTACTTTCTCCCTTGTAATGTTTTTCCATGAAGCCGACACCATGTGCTGTCATGGAGAGACACGTTATGGTAAGCTGAAGATCTGAGTCACTGCCCTTGAGATACACAAACCAGTAACAAATCACCTCTGTCTTGTCTCACTCTCCAAAGGATCCAGTTGAGCAGCTACCAGGTTTCTGTATGTATGTTTCGAAAGAAAATTACCAGCTCTTTCACTAGCAACCTAAATTCAGGTTTCCCAATTAAAAGCAAAGGCATTCCACCAGTCTTAAACATTTGGCTCTCCTTCACTTACACATACAAATTCTAAGCAGGCCAAACAGCCTCTAAATTCATGATCTAATTATTTTGGTTTGTCAGCAAGTAGGCCCATACTTAATGTTATTGTACTATCACATCATAAATCCAGACTCATGACGAAAAGAAGTCATGCTTCACTTACCGATGGTTTCTCTTATGGTTTATGATACTTTAAAAGAAACCCAAAAAAAGCAAAGCAAACCAACAAACAACTTCGCTCTTTAACTTAGTGTTTCTTAGGTAAGTTTAGGTAGAGGAGATCACAGATAAAATTGAGTCTTTCTGAAATATAGAAAATGGGAGTATTTTTCTGACAAACACACATGCCCATGCAAGACAAGAAAGTTATCCAAGACAGCCAAAAAGACTTTATTAAGGGCAAATCGTGTCTGACCCACCTGGCGGTCTTTTATGATAGAGTGACTGCAACAGTCAACAGGGGAAGACCGACAGATGTCATCTGCATAGACTTGTGCAAGGCCTGTGACCAGTCCCACACACTGTCATCACTGAACTGGAGACACATGGATTTGAAGTGTGGACTATTCTGTGGATAAAAAACTGGCTGGATGGACACAAGTAGAGGATTGTAGTCAATTGCTTACATCCAGGTAGGAGCCAGTGACAAGTGGTGTCCCTCAGAGCCCTAGTCCTGGCATTGGTGCCCTTTAGTGCTTTAACAACAACACTGTGAGATCCAGTGCAACCTCAGCAAGTTTGCAGATGACAAAAAGCTGAGTGCTACAGGTGACACAAAGAAGGAAGGAGTGTCATCTAGAGATGTTCAGCCTAGAGAAGAGAAAACTCCAAGGGGACCTGGTTGCAGCTTTTCAGTATTTAAAGGGTGCTTACAAAAAAGAGGGGGAGCAGCTTTCTATGAGGACATGCAGTGATAGAACAAAGGAGATCAGCTTTCAGCTAAAAGAGGGAAGGTTTAGATTAGTTGTTAGGAGGAAAGTCTTCCTCAAAAAATGGCGAGGCCTTGGTTGCTCAGAGAAGCTGTGGATGCTGCAACCTGGCAGTGTTCAAGACCAGGCAGCATTGGATCTTTGGCCACCCAGTCTAGTGAATGGAATCCTGACCATGGCTGGTGAGTCAGAACTAAATGATCTTCAAGGTCTCCTTCAACCCACTTGTTTTTGTGATATATGGAAACCACATTTTTGTGTTTGTGAAAATTTATCTCACCTGTTTCTTATTGTAGTTCCAGGAGTCAGGGAAGGTTTTAAACTCGCAATTTTGAGACCCTCATCCTTCCAAAAAATACTGATACAATTTTTGAATTTGGAGCTGTTTATGCTTTTATAAAGCAATACTTCTAGAACACAAAAAAAATGCCATCATGCTTTTGAAAGTAAGTATCTTTGAAAGCAAGTATCTTTTTACCAACATTACACAGAAGATAGGCAAAATAGCAAACTATTTAGAGAAAATTTGCCTTGGATGTACTAAATCAGGCACACTGTTTTCCACTGCAAGACTTGCTCAGCTGCTCTGAACCTCCTCACTTACGGTGAATCAAATTCATACACTTCACACTGTGAAATGAAGGTTACTTGATAACAGGTGTTATCTCCATATGAAGTACTACAGCTTCAAGTGTGGGATACTAAAACAATTGTGCACTGATTTATGCAGAAGTTATCACCGGGAAGTCAGGAGCACAACATTTGAGTGGTCATGATGAAGGCCATGTGTGAAAATTGCAAGTCTCCTCATCAAATTGCAGGAGCAAGGCTGAACTTTTATAAACCAGCCTGGGAGGACAACATCCTGTGTATATGAAATCAAAAAGGTCCGTTCCTTGGTCCTGGTGACAGCTGCCACAGCCCACCTGGCAGGCATTTGGACAGACTCCCTTCACTCCTTCCCAAAAAGCACACAATATCTACCAGACCACTCAAAATTTCTCCATATAGTTGACACCACCCAGCACTGCACCAAGCGTCGCAGAATGGTCAGAATTCATGACCACAAACCTGCATCTATTAAGATTGCTAATATAAAATAGCCTAGCTGCCAGTAGCTCTGGATGGAGCAATGAGTGGGTAAAGGAACACTAAAGAGGCAAGGGAAATGTAAATCAATGGATCCAACACTAACACTTCACTGCCCTTTCAGTAGAGTTTCACTTTGTCCCTGTTTAGGAAACTTGCAAACTGTGTAGGACATGCATTTGCTCTCTTCCTCAAGTCCCTATCTCCACTCCTGTGAATTACTTTAATTTGAGTAATTAAAATTAGTTTCACAAATAGTTCCTTAGCTTAAAAACTTACAGGTATTCTGCAATTCTGTACCCAAATGCTTTTCACATTAGTATAAGATCAGTTTTGTAGATCACCTTTCCTGTCTTAAATGACAGCTATTTTAGACAGAACAGTACATCTCCACACAAAGATACAACTTTTACTAAATATAGACAGCATCCACGATGTCCATACCCCTTCTCCAATTAACCTTAATTCAATAAAAACAGGCTACTTGAACAAAACTAAAGCCTTCTTCATTTTTAACTATTTGTATTTTTCAGTTATTTATTTAAAAAAAGCATTAAAAAGGGAACAAAATTGCACATAACATTACTAAGTTTCTTTCCTTTCTTTCTGTTCTACAAAGAAGCATAAAACGATCAAACTTTCATCCAGCTTTAAAAAATGTATTTATCTAGAAGCCTTAAAAACATGAAGTATAAATTGAAAGAAATGAAGAGATCATTTTTAATTATTTACACAAATTAAACTGGGGAAATTGCCAAACTGGGAATTTTAATGAGACAAAAAGAAGGAAAAATCTGATTAAAAATGAATACCAATCAACTCCATTTGAGATACAGTAAGAGGATAGTTTTATTTATAAAATGCCACTGGCACACAGTACACATAGCAAGTATGAAACTTGATTTATAAAGAAGTGAAGTGCTTCACAGAAGCATGGATTCCTGAGTTATTCTGAATAAAATCTCTCATTTACTGTAATTCACAACACAGCTCCCATTGGCTTAAGCAGCAGAATAACTGATACTTGATAAGCACAGAATAAAGACATAGTAAAAAAATACACAGGCAAATGGAAACTGGGATTGTGCCTCAACAATACTAACAGCCTTGGTCATGGAGGAAAACAATCTTACGCTGAAGGGCAAAAGACTTGTTAAGACTGGTTTCATAATTTCACAGCCAAGTCAAATGTACTGTAGATACCTGCTTTCACCTCAATGCCCACAGCCACAATCACAAAGTCCTCTTGACAACAGACACAAAAATACTTCTGTTCCTGCATACCCTTACAGAAGGACTGATTGTCCAGACAGGCATAATTACAACTGAAGAAAGAAAAAGTTTGGCACTTTCACTTCTTTTTCTCTTTTTCTACTTTCCTTCTCTGCTGTAGCATCTTTAGTTCAGTCATTACATTCAAAGTTCTGTAAACCCAGGAGACCTGAAAAGAAAGTAAATTATTAAATTCATTAAATTAATTCATATACTTTACTTACTCATTTACTGAAAGCATCTGTATCAATGAACACATACATACCACAATTATAATAGTATTCACCAGCAGTGGTGCTGAAAATACAAGTGAAATGAACATTCCTCTTGAATCAAAGTATTGGTATTTAGAAAAGAGCCTGAAAGAAATAAAAAGAAAATGAAAGACAAAGTTTTATTTAGTGTAGTTCACACATTCAACTTTCCCAGCAGCTATTCTACATGGACACATCATCCCACATCTTGGGATCACCAAGCATAGGTCAGCATTCTACTGCATTAAGTCAGAAGAAAAGAGGCAGTTGATACTTCTTCAGTTATAAATATTAATATCAGTCTTTCACTTCTTTACAGTTTTACTGTGTAAAAGCTAGCTAACATGACTGACTACAAGAGTGCATCACAAATCATGCTTATTCTGAAGCACCTGAAATGACTTGAGGTATTTTGCTTACTTATATCAGAAATGTAACAAAAATGTAACAAAAATAATAAATGTAGCAAAGCTGTAATTAGGTCATATATGCCTGAAACATGACTACAACTAGATGCCAGCATAAAGTAGTGTTAAACACGTAACTTTCAGTAATATCAGAGAAAGATTAAGTCAATGCTCAAAATATCAAATCAGTTTAATTCTGGTATGCACATTTAGTAAAACAGGCAAATGTTAATGTTTGTTATACATAGAGGTAATTATATAAAGCAGCAGTGGTATTTTTGGGAAGTGGTTCTTCAACTATTAAACATGAATACCAAACCCCCTCCCCCAAACAAACAAAGAAACAAAACCCACCAAGAAACCCCCAAAAAATCCACCATAGCTCACATTCTTTTCCCCTTAACCATAGAACTCTGCTTTTCTCTCAGTTCTTTGATGAGTTATTTTACAAGCATCCATATAAACAGATTTTAAGCAGTACAGTAAATGCATGCTACCATTATTATTTCTTAAAAGTATGTGATAATTATGTTGTACTGTATAGGTTTTATTCAAAAAATGAAAGTGAAAACATTTACCTCCAATTCATGGCTGCTAATTCATTGATATATTCAGCACAGTACACTAAGCCCACTATAAATAAAAGAAAAAAATTAGACTTGGTATTTCTTTAAAAATAAATTGCTCATAATACATCATCTAGTCTAAATCCATGTAGTCTTAAACCAAAGCTAGTATGTGTTCTGCCAGTCAGCCATGACTGCTTTGGCTAGGCAAGGTCCCTGTGGACTCTCAGGCTGATAAACCCTGGGATAACACAAGTTGTTACTGCAATGTCCAAGCCAGTCTTGCTCTTCCTCATGCCATTATCACGGCTGGCAGCAGGGCACATAATGAACTTGCTCCGGAAACTAAAGCTGACCGTATTCACCGAACTGCACCATTAGAACAAGGCAGAGTACAAAGCAACTGCTGGCTCTCAGTCGATTTTTTTCTGCTTTCCCAGCACAGAACACTTCATCGGGAAGCTGCGATACACACGGCAATGACCACGCAGTCACCTTACTCATCCCACTTCCTCACCAAGGCCAGAACTTTAAGTCACTACTTCATACATTCTCTTAGAAATGAAAGAAATACGTATTTTTAGGTCACAGCAGGATCTATAGTAGATTATCATCGACAGACACACGCACTGCTGGCGGGGAAATACGAGCTTGCAGGCACTGCTCTGGCAGCGCACGGCGTGCCCGGGCACTCACCCATGCAGAGGAAGAGCCCGACCTGCACCCGGCGGTGCTGCAGGGACGCGCAGGTCAGCAGGAAGCAGAGCAGGTGGAAGGCGGCCAGCCCCAGCAGCCAGGGCTCGGACCAGTCCGTGCTCTGCGGGCACAGGGAAAGCGGGTCAGGCAAGGCAGCGGCGGGACAACGGGCGGCCACAGCGACCGAGCACGGCCGGTGTCGCTCACGGACCGCGCCCCGCAGCCTCCCGTAGCAGGCTCGGCAAGGAGCGCACCCACAGCAAAGGCCTCCCCCCTCCCCGCCGGACGGCCCCGCTCCCCCGGACAGCCCTGCTCCCCCGGGCAGCCCCGCTCCCCTCACCGCCAGCACGGCCGGCAGCCCCGGCGGGCCGCGCACCGGCGGCTCCATGGCGGCGGCAGCGCCGGTTCTCGCGAGACTCGGGCGGCCGCCGCTTCCCCTGCGCGGCGATGGCTGAAGGGGGCAGCGGTGCTCGATGCGGCTCCGCCTTCCCTGAGGCGAGGGGACCGCCGATGGTCCCGCGGTTCGGAACACGGGCTGAGGTGGCTCCTTCTCCTGAGGGTGCTCTGGTCGCGTGTTGAGCGTTTGACGTCGGGCGGCCGCCAATGTCCCCGTCCGCTCTGTGGGGTCCCGCTGGGCTCGGCGCTGTGGGTCCGTGGCCCAGCACTGGTGTTAGCTTTTGGCCTCCTGTCAGCAACGCCCAGGGTTGCCTTTAGCGGTGGAAGTGCACGGAAGAAAGAGGTTTAAGTCCAGCTGGGAGTTCTTCAAACACAAACACAGTTGAGCTCTCCAGGCAGGAACTTAAGTCAAATGAAAACCACTTTTTCTCTCCAAGTGAAGCCCACCGTGACCCCCGGCCCGCCTCGAGTGGCAGCGGGGCCCCCTCCTGTTACTCCTGACCCCCCTCTGCCACTATAGCAGAGCTCAAGGACACATTTTTTAACTTTGGAAGTTGAAAAAAAATTAAAATATTACAATGGAAAGGGAACAAGAGACAGGTTAAACCTCTAATTTATAATTCCATTTGCTAAACGCACCTAGGTCTGGAAGAACCGACTATTCTTAAGACTTACACTTAAAGAGCATTTCAAACTCAGATTCCTAACAAAGCCAAATCTAATTTAAAGAATTACATCTGTCGAACAAACATTGTTTTAGTATATATCTCCACATTCTGCTTTCATTGATTTTTTTTTTCTGACATTTTAGCTTATCAGGTGTGAATCTTTGGCTTTTTTTTTCCAAATGTTTTGAAGTGCATGTATAAGTAAATATTTCAGATACTCTTTTAATTTAGTCTACCATATAGCCAGATACGGGTCATCAGTGTGACCTGGTCTCTCTTCATGTCAAACTTCTGCAATTTAATATGTGATACCTGAAACTGAGGATTTTTTTTTTAATTTTTAATTTTTTCGCTTTAGGTTTTTTTTAGTCTTTTTCTCAACAAAAATAGTATCTGGAGGCTAATCAAGGCTTTCACTTGAAGTGTTGTAAAATTAAGTAAGGTGATTGAAAGGTGGTAATTACCATTATTGTCTTAAAATTAGGACTAGGGGAAAAAAAGATATTTTTATCCCACATTGTAGATTGGAAAACAAGACTGCAATAACATGGACCTGTATGGGCTGGGATCTGATCTGCTGGGAAGCAGCTCTGTGGAGAAGGACCTGGGGGTCCTGGTGGCCAACAAGCTGCTCACGAACCAGTGGTGTGTCCTTGTGGCCAAGAGGCTGAAGGTATCCTGGGGTGCACTGGGAAGAGCATTGCCAGCAGGTCACAGGAGGTGATCCTGTCCTTCTACTCAGCCCTGGTGAGGCACATCTGGAGTGCTGTGTCCAGTTCTGGGCTCCTCAGGACAAGAGAGATGTGGAGCACCTGGTGTGGGTCCCATGGAGGGCTACAAAGATGATTTAGGGACTGGAACATCTCTTTTATGAGGAAAGACTGAGGGAGCTGGGCCTGTTCAGCCTCCAGAAGAGATGACTGAGGTGGGACCTCATCAATGTCTGTTGGTCTCTGAAGGGAGGGTGTCAAAAGGATGGACCAGGCTCTTCTTGGTGGTGCCCAGCAATAGGACAAGAGGCAATGGGCAAAAACTGATGCACAGGAAGTTCCAGCTGAAGATGAGGAAGAACTTCTTTACTGTCTGGGTAACCAGGCACGGGAACAGTTTGCTCAGAGAGGCTCTGGAGTCTCCATTCCTGGGGATATTCGAGAACCATCTGGAAACAATCCTGTGTAGTGTGCTGTAGGGTGACCCTGCTTGAGCAGGGTGGTTGGACCAGATTGTGGTCCATTGTGGTCCCTTCCAGCCTGACCCATTCTATGACTTGTTTGGACAGTCTTACGGCTAATAATAAATTTTTGTGTTTTGTAAATGAGGAATGAGTTTTGTGTAATTGTTTAGTAGTTGACTTCAGAAACTGTCTGCAATAGCTGAAGGGCTTCAATGAATGCAGGATGCAGTCATTAACTATATGAGTGGAATATGCTGGTCAGTGGTGAATCTGTGATGCAGACAAAGTGGGTGGAGAAGAAATTATTGGCTTACTATGGCTACAACATGTTTAATTAAAAATTCATGCAGCTGTTACTGTCAGCCACTGTAGCATCAGCAGAAACTTTCCTATAGGGAAATAGGAGTTGTTTCTTTAAGACTGACTAAGATAAAGTCAATAATGCTGTTTGTCAGCAGATGGTAGCAGATACATAAGTATTGCCATATCTTTTGTGTAGTACATGTTCTCTTTCATTTATTTTTAGTGGAAAATGAAATGTGAACAGAAGATACTTAGAAGGCAGTGAACAGATACATTACTCTTTAATAGGGAAAAACTTGTGTATTTGTCCTTTTATAGCTCCTTTGCAGAACCAGTATGTGACAATTGGGGCCTAATTTTTAGAATACTAACCATAATTATATAGTAATAATAAAATAATAAAGAAATGTTTATGTTCTCATTATTATAAGTAACTGAAGTAATTTGTAAAACTCCCTCTCAGTTTTCTGTTGCAAGATTCAGATTCCTATGTAATTTTCTTCTGCACTACAGTATTATCCAAGCAGTTTGGATAAAAGATAAAAAAACCCTTGGTTGATAAAAGGAATTTTTTCCCTTTTAACGACAGAAAAATTTCATTTACTTTACATGGGAAAAGATCTAAAATCAGACATTTATCTTAAGTTTATGTTGCTGAAAAAACAAGCTGGCTAGTAAAAGTCTATGTACAATAGGATATCCCAAATTTAAATGCTAAATTATGTTCCTAGTCATAGCCCTTACACACGTTTGCCAGCAGATCATATTTTGCAGTACTAGAAACCACACAGAAGTGCCTGTTATACTTCCTGCTGAAGGAAATTGATTCTGCAGGAGAAGATGTGAGAAGGTGTGTGAGTGAGTGAATGAGGCAGCCCCTCACCTCATCAGTCAAGGCAAAGATCCGAGGTGAACACATGTGGGGGTTAGTGACAGGTGTTGACAGCCCAATCTGTGTGCTTTGTAAAATCCCACTGCAGAGTTCTGCTCTTGGGGACAGGGACTGCTCATCTCTGCATCTCCTGCCTGCCTCACAGCCTGCTCCCATGGAGTCCTGTGTTGTACTGGCTGTCTTCAGTAGTCTTTCCAGAGCTTTGGGAGGCATGAGCAGCTTCACTGTGAAAACATGCTGAACGTGGGAGAGGAACCTGGATAATCATTGTTGCCGTGGTCACTTTCAGGGCATCATTTTTATCTGCTCTGAAGATTTTCTTTATATTCATGGTTGTGCTCAAAAGCTGCCTTAAATTTGTATTTGCTTCCAAGTGCAACAGAAGTGAGCCTGAGTCTGGTTACTCACACTAATACATGTTTCACTAAAATCCTTCACTTTCCCTGTCCTTGCCATTACAAAACAATCATTTTTGAGTGGTTCCATTATATTTTGCAGCTGCTGTCTCTTTATCTTTTATAGTACCAGCTTTTATTGGTCATTATGTGCTTGGAAAATAAGAATAATAATTGTAGTGTTGTAAAGACTTCTTTAGAAATAGAATTTAGAACTGACTGGATTGCTTTATGTATGTAATTTGTGAGTTTCAGGTTTCGATGATGGATGCCACTTCACCCAAGCTTGAGGTTACCCCTGCTTTTGAGAATGAGTTTGACTGGATGACCTCCAATGGTCTGACCTATATTGCTGTATACTTTGGATTTCCCAAGGATATGGACTGGGACCAGCTGGCTGGGAAGCAGCACTGCTGAGCACAGCCCGGGAAGCCTGGGGGGATGCAAAAAGCTGAACAAAAACCAGCAGTGTGACCTGGCAGCAAATACTGTCAGCAGTTTCTTGTATTAACAGCACACCCAGGAGATTGAGGGATTCAGTATTCATCAGGACACATCTGTATCTACCTTTGGATACTTCAAATATAAGGAGAGTAGAGCTAAACGGTGAAAATTCAGCAGAGAGCTGTCAAAAATACTCAGGGAGTTCAAGAACTTGTCCTGGAGCAGGGGCTGAGGGAGCTGGGCTTGTTTGGCCTGGCAAGAGGTGTCTCCAAGGGAAACCCAGTAGCAACCTGACAGTGCTTATGAGGAGCTTGTGAAAAAGATGGAGCAGGCTCTCCTGGTGTGAGAATGAGGGGTGATGCACCTAAAGTGAAGCCAGAAGTTTGGGCTGGATAAAAAGAAAAGATTTTTCCTCATGAGGACTGTCAAACAGTGGAAAAGGTGTCTGAAGAAGTGGGATGCCTCTTTTTGGGGGATTTTTTGACTCAGTTGGATAAAATCCTGAGCAACATGGTCTCTCCTCATAATGAATCTAGCTTTGAGCAGAAGGTTGAAATGACTTCTTAAGGTCCCTTCCAACCTGGATTATTCTGATTAAGTGATTCCACAACTTAAAATGAGAAAAAACAACATTTTAGTAGTGTTTACTAAACAATATTGCTTTAGCCTGGAAGTGAAATAAATGCTTTTGTGTGTTTTTTTCAGAATCTTATTCCCATATTCCCTCTCTTTCATCCACTTTCTGTCAGGGCTTTTTTTCCTCATTGCAAAGTAGCTTCAGGCATCTTCATGCTTATTTTTCTTCTTCCTTTATTCTCAGACAGTACATGCAGTCTGAAATACAAATGTCTTTTTTTTCCCTCTACCTAATAACATGACCTCCTTTAAATTGTTCCACTAATCCCAACAAAGGTCTCAGAATCCTTTCAAAGCCTTACTCTATTCTGGCAAAGAAACCAGATTTTTATTTCTGTTGTGATCTTTTTCCATTCAGGGTGGAAGAGGCCAAGTGTAGTTGCAAGCAAAAATCAGTCCTGACAGTCTCAAGTCCTGTTCTTAATGATATACTTTATTGTCTCTTTGACTCATTCTGAAGTGTTCTTCTCACAGAATTGCTGCATTGATTGTTTTTAATTTCAGAAATACCACTTCATGTCATTCCATGGGATGGTATGGAAATAAAGCACCTCTGCATTTCTTTGATGTGTGATTGCATTGCACCTGAGACAATGAAGTGCATTTAACTTGCAACACAGCTATTGTAATAAAAGGGCAAGAAGGAATAGAAGTACCTGGGTTGTGCAGGGCAACTTTCAGGATTGTATCTGATCTGATTGCAGAACTTCATGTCAGCATTGTATTTTCTCCTTCAGGGCATGCTGTTAAGGCACATCCCAGCCACTCCTGCCTGTCATTCTTAACATGTAGGGGAAGTACAAGCTGCAGGGAGCAGCAGGAGCAGGATCAGCAGGAGAGACATTTTTGTGAACACGTCATTGTTCAGCCTTTTCATCTCTGAGATTAAACACTTGATACAAATCTTGTACTTTGGGGCTCCTGCTGCTTCTTGCTTATCATCATTCTCTAATGAAAGAAGAATGAAGTGTGGAAAAATGGTGCTAATTTGGCAAAAGACAGCCAAGAGCTAGAAAGCCAGCACATCCATCTATTGCTCCTGGAGCTGTCCATGGTTGTGCTTTCTGCTGTTTTGTCTATTTCATATCCTCAGCAGTTCATAGTTCTGTTGGTATAATGAGTCCAAATGGCTCAGCCCATCTGAACACTTAAGATTTGAACAGTTAAGATTTGAGTTTTTGGATATAGAAATTGACACACACAAATTATGTACTTTCTAATACAACAATAATTGCAAATGTGTAAACATTTGTCCATTTAACATGTCCATTTAACATTTAGCTCCTTAATCTCTGTGAGCTAAAAGCATATGACCAGAGAATATTCCCATTTTTAAATTTTTGGGCACAGGTGTGGGAGCTCCACTGCAACATCTTGCATTAGAAGAGTTGAGAAGCAGGCAGTTAATCCTCCTCCAGCATTTTTTTAGTTTGAGGTTTTACAGATTCATAGCTTATTCCACAATGCTGTTCCCTCATAACTGGTGGGAAATGTCTCTAGCTGTATTCTTGACTGGATGGGGGTGTTGCTGTGGTGATGATGTTTTGAATTGTTCATCAATGTGTGATATATGTATTTTAATTCAAGGTTATCTCCCATGATAGCACACCAATGCTGACAAGTCCACTGTTGGGAAGATTATGACAGAAGTTTTAGACACTATTCTGTACATGG